AGGCTTAGGTTTAGGTTTAGGGTTAGGCCTGGAGGGTGGTGAGGGTTCGAATCTCCACGGGTAGTTCTTTCCAGAGAGTCAGAGCAGCCACAGAGAAGGCTCTCCTCCGAGTAGTCGCCAGTCGACACTGGCCGGCGGATGGGATTCGGAGGAGGCCTAATCTGTGGGATCTAATCGGTCTAGAGGAGGTAATTGGCAGCAGGCGGTCTCTCAAGTACCCAGGTCCAATACCATGAAGGGCTTTATAAGTGACGAATGGTCACAATGCCCTTTTTTCAGTGCTGTTATAACTTCAAATGGTCATTAAATGAATGGTTGTAAGTTGAGGATTATATGTGCAGCTCCAACCAGTATAGGAAGACACCAAGATGAAAAAAGACTGATAAGGCAATTCTATAATCACTCTTTTGAAGTTTTGTCCGAATGAATATGGCATTTTGCAGATCTTAAAAGATCTGCTTGTTGAATCTCTATACTCTGTACAGATAGTAATATTCACCACTTTTTGGGGAGGAAAATAACTATATACTATACTTTGTAATTGTGATTTTTAAAATCTATGGTAAATAATTCCTGGATTCACCCAGGTTTGCCTCTTTTATGGAAACAAAAACTTTCGAGCTGGATTTATGGGAATTCATCATGTACAGTATTTCTGCATGCAGTTCAGACATGCCAAACTATTTTCAATCAGCTGGAAAGTGGCATTGCCTAACCCCCAACCATGTCATACGTAGGCGGTGGGATTATACTCCCTTAGAACAAGAATCTTGTGAGAGTAAATTACAAAGCAGAAGAAAGCCTGGGGGACTTTGAATAGGGGTGGGTTCCATTTATTCCATATGTGTGAAAACTGGACATGTAACAAGATTATCCACAACCACCAAGTCAAGTAATCTTCATATGTTACACCCATAAGCTTCTCTGATTGAAATCCCCATAAATCTCTTCCATCGTTAATCAGCTTCTTTGTCTAGTACAGCTTGATTTCAAGTTGGGGTGCTTTTATTTCTCTTTCCAGCACATTGATCCCTGCAGGAAAAGAAACGGAAGACAATCTCTAAATACTGTATATATAAAATAACTTTTAATACACATGGCAAAAATGTTATTTTCGGAAAGAAAGATCAGTTCCTGATGACAAGGCACTGACCTTTCAACTTTCAAATTGCTAGAATATGTTGAAAACATAATAAATATGATAAGGAATGTCCTGTATATTCTAAACATAGAATCGAATTCACAACACGAAAAAAAACTGACCTCCCCACGGAAAGCAGGCAAATTTCACATGACATTTCTGGAAAATATATTTTATATACCGATCATTTTCAAAAATGCTTCAGTAACATTTTTAACCAAAACCTTGTGTGGGATATGTGTGTGTTTGTGCTCTGCCTGTGTCCTTTTGAATTAAGCGAAGTGTGTTTCTATTCAGGTAGTGTCTCTCTTTAGAAAACAACCTTTTATTTCAATGTTTCCAAACCTTGGTGACTTCCAGATGTGCACCCCAACTTCAAATCCCAGCAGCTGCCATGCATGATAGTGTGTACAGGATTGTGTAGAAAGAGCAATGCAGAGGACACAAAATGCTTGGCATTAGATTAAGCCAAAGATTAAGGATCCTTGGTGCTTTTTGAGCTTAGTTGTTTTCTTGCAGACGTTTCATTACCCAAGCTAGTGCTGGTGAGGGAGATACACATATTTTCCTCTATTGGGTCCAAAATATTATTCACCAAAAGTTTCTTCTGAAAGCTGAATAGCCATTGGTGAAGAGGGCAGATCCTCATTGGCCAAGGGACAGGAAACAGAGGATAAGAAGGAGCTCCCTAAGATACTGTTTTTAGAAGCAGATAATGGATTTTGTGGTTCTGCTTTGTAAAAGAGAAGGTTAGAGGCAGTTGTGACAACAGTTTTACAGAACTGTAAAAAGCAGAAAACAAGGGAAAGTATTTAGAAAAGGAACTGTTTTCTTGTTACTCTCTCTGTCTTTAAAGAAGAAAAATGTGTTTTTTTAATTAGAAGTTCTAAAATTTTATCCCCAGTATGTTTTTTCCAGCTACGTCTTTAAATTCTACATCAGACTCTGTGGGTATTCCATTTTGATTCCGTAATTTTAACCTCTTGTTTGGCTGGACTCCATCTGCGATGTTACTCTAGAGCTGAGTGTGATGTTGGGATAAGAGGAGGTGCCTTCCAAACCGTCTGTTGCTTTGGACCCCAAATTCTTAAAACTGGCCCTGATCTCAGCTAGTTGGGATTTGCACAATTAACAACATGTGTGCCCGCTGCGATCATTGATGACAATTACACACGTACCATCCTTACATCCCAGCTTGACTATTGCAAGGAGCTGTTTGGAGGAACTGTAGAACTGGTGAATGCAATCCTTTCTAAAAACCTTTTTGTTAAGTAGGAGTTCATTCTGTTTTATTTATTTATTTTGTCAAACAAGTAAGAAATAACAGGTATAAGTATAAACGTGGACATGAACAAAGGAAATGAGTACAAATAAATGGGGACAGTAGGACAGGGACGGAAGGCATGCTGGTGCCCTTACGCACGCCCCCTTACGGACCTCTTAGGAATGGGGTGAGGTCCACGGTAGACAGTTTGAGGTTGAAGCTATGAGGTTTAGAGGATGTAACAATAGAGTCAGGGAGAGCATTCCAGGTGTTGACCACGTTTATACTTATACCTGTTATTTCTTACTTGTTTGACAAAATAAATAAATAAATAAAACAGAATGAACTCCTACTTAACAAAAAGGTTTTTAGAAAGGATTGCATTCACCAGTTCTACAGTTCCTCCAAACAGCTCCTTGCAATAGTCAAGCTGGGATGTAAGGATGGTACGTGTGTAATTGTCATCAATGATCGCAGCGGGCACACATGTTGTTAATTGTGCAAATCCCAACTAGCTGAGATCAGGGCCAGTTT